TATAGTTATATAAATAACTGTATAACAATAACTACTGTTAACTGCAAACTAAACTACTGTTCTGATAACTTTATAGGTAACTAGATACTGTTTTATATATTATTTTAAATATAGTAAATAGTTATATATTTGTGGGGAATTTTTGTCAGAAACTGCTAGTTTCCCAAAAGAGAGAGCTTAAATGTTCTCAGTTTCAAGCTAAAGTTTTTAAATAAGATTTTTGCGGCAATTCGTTTGCAAAAAAAATTAAGTCTAAAAGAGAATTGTCTCCTCAACGACAAACATTAAAAAATGGCCGACAAAATGGATTGGTACGCACAGTAGGTGAACCACGAACATCAGTGGTGACAAAATCAGTATAAGCTGGCCTCGTATTATATCAAATAAGTATCGTCGCTGTCTACTTTTCCTTATCTCAACTATCAGGGTTAATTTCTGAGACAATTTTCTAGAACTTTCCTACCTAAAATTTTATTTGAGTTACTTGATTTTTTTGTTGTTCAGTTAGTTTTTATTTTTTATTTTTAAAATAAAATATACATCATTGCCTTAAAATCAGTTTATTATTTTCCTTTCATCTGATGTACAGCCCTAGCACCTCAAATCTCTTAGTATGAAAGTGTGACTAAATGTGGTGATAAAATTGCCCACCGCAATTAAAATGTCTATTTATTTGAAAATGTAATGGTATACCTTTTTGCCGGTTTGCTAACAATATATCTTAAAATCAAAGTCATAGAACATATAGTTGCTGAAAAATTTAGGTTGAGCAAAGATGTAAGAAAGTGGAGATAACTTTGCCCGCGTCTGTTTTTGTTTTTTTCTCAGCATCTGTAAAAAGTAATAAAAACCGAAATATGTGGGCAAAGATGTATGGTTTCACCGTATATATTTTGTGACAAAAATCAAAATAAGTTGACAATTACTTAAAAATATAAATATAAATTGATTATTTACCCTAACATTATTTATAAATAATCAAAAATTAATTTTGTAAATTTAATTTAAACTTTTTTTAAAATTGACACATTATCGTGTCATGTAATTAAAAAGAATTGCATGACTCATAATAATATTGTAATTGGTTTTAACTAATATCGACTGCTGTATGAAAATTGGGAATTAAATGGCTATTATTATTATTCTTAAATATTGGAGTGTATTTGTGATCTTTTTAACCTTCGTAATATTATGAGGAACCCCAGACAAAGAGCCGTCTATGATAGAGCCTAGATCCTGGTGAGTAGGAAACACAACAATTAAAAATTATAGGAAGTGTAGATGTTAAATTTGCTATACCGACGGGAGCTACCTATTATTATTGTTAAGCATTTTTAGTGATTAACGATGCAGTGGTGGTGTAAGAATATCCACTACCCAATATCGTCCCGAGGGTGCCGTAGAAGCGACAGAAGGAAAATGAAAGAGAATATGGACATCTTTGGGTTGCCAACTATAGCATTTTTTTTTGTTTAAATTGAAGATCTGATGATACGCGTGATTATTTATTACATGTAGTGGAGTTTTAAGGTGATACCTCGAAAATTTGGTGGTTTTTCTATTTAACATATTTTTTAAGTGTTATAGACTACAAACCAAATTTAGGTACTTATATGATTTTTGACTATATGACCTTGGATTGCATAAAAGGAAAATACGATATGTAATTTTCTCGATAGAAAAAAATTGCAAAGTAGGCTCTAATTACATTACATTTCTCCATGACACCACAATATTCGTACGAATAAGTTCATGGAATTATTTTTAAGGCATAGTAAATTATCATATCTAAGTTCTCATAAACCAGTTTTTAATCCATAACGAAGTTTTGTTAAAATAAATAAAAACGTTGTTTTGCGCTTACGAAGTTTTTTTCCGAGTACTTGCTCGGTATAGCTATCTCATAATTTGCGTACTATGAAGTCATCACTTTCATTTTGACACTCCCCTAAGGGTATTAGTGTTCTGTGACACTGCCTCAGTCGTCCGTTAGCTTCACCGACAAAGGAATAAGCCACGCCGCCAAAACTACGATTCATTTCAATTCATTTTCAAGGTATACTCATAATAATATTCATTGCCTCATATGATTTTAGTGTACCAACAAAATGGCTGTATTTAGCTGAATAATAAATAAAAAAATAAAATATCATCTCGTGGGTGTCGTGGGAGCGATCGAGGGAAACAAATCACGAGATGGACGCTAGCGTCTTCTTAATAACACGACTTAAAATACAATCATCTTGCCGGGCGTGGCAGCTATGGCAAATATCCCTCCAATGAGGTAACCTTTGAGGCAGACCTATGTTCATAGGCTGCACTAAAAGTATCGGGAATGGAATATTTCCACTGTTCCTGTCATGTTAAAATATATATTTAATTAATATTTTAATTGAAAACTCCTTGGTTTTAAAAATCGAATACCATTTATTTATTTAAAAAAGATTTTCGGTTTTGTCACAAGGTTTTGTCAAACTTGTTTAGTCGTTGAGAAAATGGAATTGACTCGAGAAAATTCAAGAGCGATGATTTATTATGACTTTCGAAGTGGTTTAACACAAAAACAGTGTGTTGACCGGATGATTTCCAAAATCATCCGGTCAAATCCATCCATCAAAAAGCCCCATCCAAAACCATAATTTATCGCTGGTTTGCTGAATTTCAACGTGGACGTGTCAAGCTCAGTGATGATCCCCGTCAAGGTCGTCCAAAAACTGCAGTCACCCAAGAAAACGTTGATGCTGTGAGTAAGCTGATTGAGGAAGATCGACATGTGACATACCGCGAAATTCAGGCAACTTTAGACATTGGCATGAGTCAAATACAAATAATCTTGCATGAACAATTAGGTCGCTCTGTGAAGAGCAAAAAGCGGCTCGCGTTACTTGGTGCGTCAGAACTCTCGAAAGATTCCACGCAGGATCCTCAAATGCTGTATACAACATCGTATCTGATGACGAATCCTGGATATACGCGTACGAACCCGAAACATAAAACCAGTTACTAGTTTGGGTGTTCGAAAATGAATTAATGCCAACAAAAATTGTTCGTTCACGGAGTGTTGCAAAAAAAATGGTGGCCACGTTTGTCTCCAAAACCGGCCATGTTACGACTATTCCTCTTGAGTGACAAAGAACGGTTAATGCAGAATGGTATGCTAGTATTTGTTTGCCACAGGTCGTTTCTAAACTCCGTAAAGAGAACTGCAACCGCCGCATCACCTCTATCACGACAATGCGAGTTCTCACACTGCACACAGACCAAAAGTTTTTAGAGCAAGAAAACATAGAATTATTAGACCATCCGCTGTACAGCCCCGACCTAAGCTCTAATGATTTCTATACTTTCCCTAAAATAAGGAATAAATTGCGTGGACAGAGATTTTCATCACCTGAAGAAGCTGTGGACGCCTACAAAACGGCCATTTTGGAGACCCCAACTTCCGAATGGAACGGTTGCTTCAATGATTGGTTCCATCGTATGGAAAAATGTGTCAAATTTCGCGGAGAATACTTAGAAAAGCAATAAATACATTTTTAAATAGTAATGTTGTGTCACTTCCTTGATCCCCGAAATTTTCAGTGCCGCCCTCGTATAGTATTAGGCTGTAATGGATGGATAGGTGGTAAAGGATTAACAATAATACCAAACCTATATGGACTTCATAAGTAAGTCAGGTCATGGCTTAACGAAGAGATTTCATTTAGCTGATCCATTGATATTTGTGCATAACGTTTCAAATCGTCCACACAAAGCTGGTAAGAGCAGTTAATATGACTTGATAGTCGAAAATATCGAGAAGAGAAGAAAGTATGACACTACCAAACACACCATTACGGAAACTACGTTTAAGTGGTAGAGCCATGCTGCAGTTATATTAGTAGTATAGTTGTAGCACGAATGGGTCGGCTCGACCGGGGAAGGACCACGCTCTCACAGAATACCAGCGTCAAATAGTAGCTTGATGCTGCTGTATTTCGTATGGTGAGTGTAGAGAACCGGAGACCCTTTTTACTGGAAACGAGGCATTCCATCTTAGTCCTCACGGGTGACAACGCATCTGCATTTTGATTCGTAATCGAGGATAGATGTAGATGCCTATGGGCCACAGCAACCACTTACCATCAGGTGGACTGTGTGCTCGTTTGTCACCCTACCCTATATAAAAATAAATAAAAAAAAACTACTTTACGGAAACTGCTATCAGCAATAAAACTATTTACCATATAATAAAATTTTTAATATATTAATAATAAAACCATTTAACACTTAATAATAAATCATTCACTTTATTAAAATTATTCGATCCATTTTTTATTGTATGGTGTACAATAAACTAAAATAAAAAGTAACATGATCTTTAACTCTTCTACTAGCGCCATCTATCAACGATGAAGAAGCAACAGCCGAGTAACCGCGTTAAGGACCAATAACGTCACTTGGAAGTAAGGTGAACTTGTTGCGTCTTAAATTAATAAAAAATCGGTTTCTGATGTATATACGCAAAACAACCCTCAGTACTGTATTTTTTTTACACATTTCATATTTTATTTTATTCTTCTACTTTTAGAAATACCCGTATTTTGGTTTATCCATTTCTAATTTAATTATTTTAAAATATCACTAATATTTTAGAAAGAAACATTAATCTCTACACAAAATACCAGCGTAAAATAGTAGCTTAATGCTGAGACTCTTTTTACTGGAAACGAGGCATTCCATCTTAGTCCTCACGGGGGACAACGCATCTGCATTTTGATTCGTTTAGAATAGATATAGATGTCTATGGACCGCAGCAACCACTTACCATCAGGTGGACTGTGTGCTCGTTTGTCACCCTATCCTATAAAAAAAACTTTTCTGACAAATTATTTCCAGCTCTGATATCTGTCAAATATTTCACTTCATACTTAAGTGGCACCGCTCTGGTAGCAGAAAGTCGTGGATGCCCTCATTGTGGGTTAAATGAAAATACATAACGTTTCGAACACTTTATTCCTTCACCAGCGTACTCGCGTCCTATACTCGTCACTAACGCTAAATCTCTTGATGGTCTCGTATCCTAGGATGATGGAAAAAGAGAAGCAGGCTGACTGTGCCAGGCGAGCTGACAGGCCCTTGGCGTACAACCCCGACAGTCCTTCTTCCCTCCAGAGTTCTTTGAACACCTGGCGCATAGAACCCACACCCTCCACCTGAAAAAAATTATTCCTTTAGGACAAGTTCACAGTTTACTAAGAGCTGGTATTCCAATAACATTAGTATTTTTTTATTCGAACAGTCCACCTGATACCTGAGTAAACGGCTGCTTTTTTTTAATTCTTTATAAAACGTTACCTCCACACTAAGATTTCCTCCTGTATAGTGGGGGCAGTTTACAAACATAAATTTCACAAGGACAAACATCCAGACTCGGAACAATTAATTGCAGGCCATACAAATACTTGTTCCGTGCGGGATTCGAACCCGCGGCCCTTAGCACTGTAACTCATAGCTAAGCCACTGCACCACGGAGCCGTCAAACCTTATAGAATTAAAATAATTACAGACATCTCTTAGTACTGGTAAAGTCACGTTGTTGCTATATTATGTTTGTAGCACGAATGGGTCGATTCGAATGTTGAAGGACGACGCTCTCACAGTATACCAGCGTAAAATAGCAGCTTAATGCTGCTGTGTTTCGTATGATGAGTGTAGAGAACCGGAGATCTTTTTTAATGGAAACGAGGTATTCCGAGGTATACGGTTTGTTTTTGTGTAGTATTTATATATACTATATGTATGTATTTATATACATATATAGTTTGTGTTGCTAAAATGTTAACGGTAATTTTAAAAATCATAGGTATGTTCCGAAACCTTTTCAGTATACTGCCGAATACAAATGACCTCATCAATTGACACTATACTGTATTGCATTGGACAGTATACTGGGTTCTATTTTGGAACATACCCCCTATATGTGTAGGGTAGTTTGCCAACCCGCTTGCCAAACGTGGCAACTATGGCAGAATCCCCCCCCCCCAAGAGGCAATATATGAGGGAGACCTATGTTTAGCAATGGATTGTAGTTTGTAATGAAATGGATGTGTAAGTAGGTAGACTTGTTTGTAATTTAATTTTAAGGTGCAAGTGACCAACCCCTCCCCCCCTCCCGAAGTATGTTGGCGGACAGTTGCCCAATCGCCGCTGGTGTGTACATAAATGCGCTTACGTTGTCTCACGTTTTAGAAAAATCTGACGGTCATTTGTATTTTTAACTTTGTAAGCGCAATAAACTTCTTTTAACGTTACAAGTGCGAGGTCTTGTTAGTTATCGATTCACTTCAGTGGTCCTTCGAGCCGTATCGAAATTATATATAAAATATATTTAAATGAAATTATATATAAAATATAGTAATAATAATAAAAATATTACTTAAAAACAATTAGTCGGCATGAGTTTATTGGATTCTTTCAATAAAGCCAAGTTGCAGACGTCCAGCAACAAATGCAATCCTTACCTGCAGCCTCGCTCGCACAATATCGAGGGGATTCGTCAGGATTGTGGTGGTGAACCCGCCCAAGGTGCCGGCGACACACTGAATGAACAGATGCGATACCCACGACGGGCTTATCTTGAGAAGTTCGTCTAGAACAATTCAAATGAATATAACCAATCTATGACTGTGAAACAAATTATTGTATAAACACAAGTCGTAGTCACAGTTAATACTTTTATTCTAACTCGGCCTTAGCAAGGCCAAGAAAGCCAAGAAAATTATGCTATCGCTTCAACAACTCAAGTAGACAACCATAGACTATTTTCTACAAATAATAACTATTTATTATTATAAAAAATATTCGTAAGCAAAAATATATACATTTATTTATATAACACTAAAGTGTATTATAGTTTTTTTAATATTATATAAATATTAAAAAAAAACTTCAATTATAATACAGTCCTACTCTCCATGATATCGTGCCAAGAACGCTAGCTGCGTTTATTCGCTGAAGGCTATACTTAGCCCTTGAGCGCGGAAAGAACCATCGCTCTTATCACCAGTAGCGAAGACCAGTCGCGGATACAATTCCTTTAGGAACTTCACCGTATGTGGACTCCACGGATCGAGTCTCTACAGCAAATGACACAAATATGTAGTCATCTCTCAACAACTCATATTTGTGCCACTTACTTAGTCCAGCAGCCTCTGATGCCGACGCGAACTCTAAACGAGGTACCGTTGACATTTTTTTTTCTTTTTTTTTTTTTTTTTTTTTAAAATAATATATATTTGTGTAATATCAATAAAATTAAAAGTGCAAAAAAAAAAGAGTAAATTTAGATGTAAGCCTTAAGATATTTATTTCATTACAAGGTCTCCGAGTGAGTGTTTTGGTCTAGTATTATATATACATATGTGTGCGAAGCTTCCATTAAAGCCGAAAAGCCGGGCTTGCCTTATTAAACCTGAATCAATCAATAATATCAAGTAATAAAATAACTCGTAAAATGTTTCAAGCTATTTCAAATTTCCCGCGCACTCCACTGTTCGACACATGTCGACCGATGATTGACTCGCTGCTGTCATAAAAAAATGAGTTTTAATAGAGCTAATAGTTGTTCACCTCGCTCTCGTGGGCTTTTTTACGGGGCTTTCGAGAAGACGATCGCTCTCTTTCTAACCTATGGCAAAATATTCTATAATGAAATATAACTACGATTGTATATATAGCAATTAGTATAGAGATTTAAAGCCAGGCTTTTGGGAATAAATTTGTTAAAAGCGGAGGCCCGCGGGCAATACGTTTGCAAGTTCTTAATAAAAAGTTTTTAATATTACGAGTTCAAAATTTATGCTTTTTTAAAGATTTTTAATGAAGATGGAGGATAATAGTGTTCCTTGTGATGAATTGAAGTGTGTTAAAGTGATAATCGGAGAGGAAATCTTTAAACTTTGTTGAGATAATACCTTGTGTATTAAGAGTAAGAGTAAGAGTGTATTTCAGACTTATCAATTATCGCAATTAAAAACAGTTATTGGTACAATTAAAACGTTCACCAATATTTTACGTGGACGTAATTAAATCTTTCCATAAGAAAGCGAGACGATTCCACTTATCTTATCTTATCTCTTATCCATTAGAATGTAAATATTTTTTTTTTAATTTTGTACATAGTTTGTTGTACTTTGTTCATGTTTTACTTTTGTTCATGTATTGTATTGGATGTAAATATTTTTTTTCTTTCGCTTTCTTCAAAGCCACCGAAGCTATGCAATAGCTGATATGTAATACATTCTATCTAGCAGTGGTATGCCTTCTGTGTGCTTTGTTAAACACGTCCTTGACAGCACTGAATATGAAACTGAAGCGTGGAGACAGATCAAGATTGGTGTATTTTTATAAAATTGCTAAAAACAACAATCTATATTTTTATCAATTTATATCTTGGGCTTGCCCTAGCTTGGAGCTCTAGCTTCGCCACTGTACATACGGCACACTGAAAGCTCTATGCCCCTGAACGCTCATAAACGATCGTTTTCATATGTTATTAATTACAATAATTTTTGGTAGGAAGACACTAGACAGAAGTCAGTTGTGTTTTATCGTAAGTGGAAGCTCGTCATCTATAGCGAAAATGAAACTAACACGAAAAGATTTTATATCGATGATTTTCTAATCTTAAAAGTTTTCTTTCTCCAAAATGTATGAGTTACGTAAAAATTTCAGTGGATCCAAAATAAATTTGTAAAACCTGTAAAAATTACCACGTACCCAAAAGGGCAAGACAACGCCTGTCACACAAGATAGTTCTATATTCAGTTACAATTGAAAAACACCTTAGATCTATAGGGGAGGCCGCTAGATTAACCCTATGAGGGAGGCCTATGTTCAGCAGTGGACTGTAACAGGCTGTTTTTTATTTAAACTTTATTGAACCTTTTTACATCGAAGAGTCACGCTGCAGCTAAATTATAGTTGTAGCACGAATAGGTTTTCTCTATTTTTTTTTTTGAATTAACTTCAGTTTTAATATATCTTCGAGTCCGGGGCGGGCCCACGCTCTCACAGAATACCAGCGTGAAATAGCAGCTTAATGCTGCTGTATTTCGTATGGTGAGTGTAGCGAACCGGAGACCCTTTTTACTGGAAACGAGGCATTCCATCTTAGTCCTCACGGTTGATAACGCATCTGCATTTTTATTTTTAATCGAGGATAGATGTAGACGTCTATGGGCCTCAGCAACCACCTACCATCTGGTGGACTGTGTGCTCGTTTGTCACGCTATTCTATATAAAAAAGCATGTGTTGTAACCCCGGAGGACTAAGATGAAATGACTTGTTTCCAGTAAAATGGGTCTCCGGTTCTCTACACTGACTATATGAAACACAACAGCATTAAACTGATATTTGACGCTGGTATTCTGCGAGGGCAGGGTCCTGATCTGGTGGAAACGACCCATTAGTGCTGCAACCATAATATAGCCGAAGCGTGGCCACGTAAAGAATGAAATTTAAATTAAAACTACTACTAGATTCTTCATTCTTTCTTCTTCTCTAGATTCTCAGTTGAGGATAAATGTGGATGTCAATGGGTCACAGCATCCACTTACCATCAGGTGGACTGTGTGCTCATTTATCACCCAATGCTACAAAAAAACCTCACAGACTTAAAACTAAAAGCATTATCTGCCAATCAACCTTAGGACCGTGATAACACTACGAATGTAATGTAATTGTAACGGAAAGCATACCTTGGTAAGCAGTGTAAAGAGCCCACCAAAGAGCAGAGTTTGGCACGTACGCCGCCAGGGAAGCCGCATAGCCTTTGTAGTAGCCGAGTGGTCCGTGGAGCTTGTACACCCTCAGCGCCACCTCCCTTGCCAGCGCCGACTTCGAAAACCTTTGCTCAAGGTCCAGACCGAGCGGGTTCAGTTTCTGGAACAGTTCAACGTTCACCGGTCAAAGGTTACAGCCCTGCTGCAGCAATATTATGGTTGCAGTACAAATGATTAGGTTCAACCAGGGTACGACCCGCTGTTGGCAATGTGCGTGTCATATGGTGTTTGCTTTTTTATGGATATGAAGCATTCCATCTTAATCCCAAGGGGTGGCAACGCATCTGCATTTTGATTCCTAAATGAGGATTGATGTAGATGTCTTTGAGCCACAGAATCTACTTACTAGCAGGTGGACTGTGTGCTCATTAGTCACCCTAATTCTATAAAAAATTAAACTAAAAAATGTGTACCGAGTATTGAGTAAAGTGTTTGTGATATTATGTAATAAGTGATACCGAGTATGTTGTGCAGAATAAGGCAATGTATTGTGTGGCCGTGGAAGGAAAAGGGGAGATCTCCCGCCAGGCAAGGCGTTCTGCCCGGGTAGCGGCCAACACTCCGTGTGATAGTTCGGAGATGTTCTATATATATTTATTTATTTAAGGAGATGTTCTATATATACTGTTTATGATTCGGAATATTGATAGCGTGATTTAGGCTTCGGTGTGTTTCGCTTGCGGCGCGACGACAGTGCCGCCACAATTGTATATAGTCCATATATCTGACGGCTCAGTGGCATAGTGCTTTAGCAATAAATGCAGCGCCAAAGGTCGTGGGTTCGAATCCAGCACGAAATAAGTATTTGTATTACCTACAAATATTTGTTTGACTCTGGATGTTTGTCCTTGTGAAATTTATGTATGTAAACTGCCGCCACGATACAAGCGAAAATGTAAGTGTAGATGTAACCTTTAAAAATATATATATACATATATAACTTACAGGGTTTTTACTAGCACCAGGTCTTCCCTTAGCGAGTCCTAGCACCATGAGGTGTTGGCTGAGTACGTCGAACGGCACTATCACGGTCTGGCCCACCAGGGACGCGCAACCGCCGCCTATGAAAGACTGCAATTGAAAAAGAATGAACACGTCTTTCACATATAACGGACTAGTGACCTGCCCCGACTTCCACCTGGGCATGATTAGTATGGCTGTTAAAGCCATCTAGTTTATTTTATATAATTTTTATTTTAAATTTCCCCCTATATATTCCTATATTTCGGGCGTTCGTAGCCCCTCATCTGCACGTCTAGGACTTATATATAAATAACGCTGAAAACTACCACGCAAGTCAAGTAAAAGAGAAGAAACTGCGACGCGCATTGATACTTTATAAGTCATACAGGGTTATTTTGCAATAACTGGCCAAATTTGCAGAGAAGGTTAAGAATAAGAAATATAAGCAAATGGTAACGAAAAAATAATTTTAAAAAATCTCAAACATTCTGTCCTTTATATTTTCTAAATTAAAAATAGTGATGAATTATTTAAATTGATTTTACTGCGGTAAGCAAAAACATTGTTGCCCATAAACCACTTTTAATTTGGGATGATTTCAAATAAAAGTAAAAGCGTTAATTAATCGTATTATAAAAAACTGCAACGGTATATCATTATTTATATGTTTGGACTTAAGTTTAATATTTGGCTGCTCTTTGTATATAATTAAAACAGTACTTTTGTGTCCGTAAAAAAAATGGAAGAAGCGTTAGCTCGTCTACACCTTGGAGAAATCTGTCTCCGGAGCGAGGAAGTCCTAAAGGGCGGCGGTGACAAGGTAGACTCGCAATTTATTTAACGAACGCCCTTTCTCTCAACCAACAATCCTTTCTTTCAATCCATAACAATGGTGCTATGTAGATTTAAAATAATCATCAAAGAATATTTATTTTATAGAAAAAAATTCTCCAAGGTTTTCAGATAAAATATAGCCTATATCATAGACAGACACACAGACAATAAATTTTAAAATTATTACATCATTATGAGCCGTGGTAGCTCAGATGGTTAGCGCTCGCTGTAAATATCACAGTATACGAGAAAACCGGGTTCGATCCCCGCCGGCACCAATGTAATTGTTAATTGCAATTTTAAGTGCTGATTCACCACGTGCTCGGCGAAGCAGGAAAACACCGTGAGGAAACCAGCATGTCTGAGAAATAAAAAAATATATATTTCGAAGACATGTGTAGTTCGCCAACACGTATTGGGGCAGCGCGGCGGATACTCCATTGTACTAGAACCCTCTCAGAAATGAGGGTGGTTGTGAGGCTAATTTTACTTTTATTTTACTTATGACATGCCAATAACCTTCTCCCCAATTGCTCAAAAAGCACTTATTTTGATATTGCATACAGACACTTAAAATTTGTTTATATGTTTAAAATGTAATACAAAAGCTTTGGAAATTTTATAAACGTTCAAACTAAGAATAAAAAGAAATATACATTAAAAACACAACTAGTAAACTTCTAACTGCCATAGCTAAATTGCCTGTCAAGCGTGGCAACTATGCCAAACAACCCATTTTATATGTGGTAGATCCAAGCTGCAGCTATATTATAGTTGTAGCACAGGTGGGTTGGCTCGACTGGGGCAGGACCGCGCTCTCACAGAATACCAGCGTAAAATAGCAGCGTAATGCTGCTGTGTTTCGTATCCATACGATCCCATGTGAAACACAGCAACATTAAGCTGTTATTTGACGCTGGTATTCTGTGAGAGCGTGGTCCTGCCCCGGTCGAGCCGACCCATTCGTGCTACAACTATACTACTACTATAACTGCAGCATAACTCTACCACGTATAAAAACGCACGCATCTGCTCAATTATACTGACATAGCATAATAAATAGTCATCTCATGTCAAAACGCTTCATGAAAGAAGTCCCACGGAAAATGTGCGAACTAAAATTTTATGTATGGAATTTGACACCAGATGTCAAACTTCGCAAAGACCATGAAGGTTAGAGAACGGGAGAACGATCGCCGTAGAAAATACTGTCCCAGAAATATGGACACCAAAGTGAGGCGCTGCGATCACTCGAGGTTCGGCCAATAAAAGTCATTTTGAGTTTATTTTTCCGATCAGATGCTAAACCACTTTCACATCCAACAACAATAAAATATTTCTCCAATTTTAATGTTTCTTTTTGTCAAAAATTACAAAATTACGGAGCATGAAAATTTTCTCATTAAAAATGAAATGATAATTTGTACATTATTCAACTAACTTCATCTACTTGTACTCATAAACAGCTAACTTCGCAGTCACTACTCACCGACGTCAGCGCCGCTATACATTCTACAATTTCCAAGGACAGGCGGGCTATGGTTTAGTACGTAGTGATCGTTCTCCTGTTCTAACCTTCATGGCAAAGACTGTGGTATCGCGGCTAAGGTACTTCTTTCATGAAACAGACTCTAAGTTCCCATCACTCCCTACTAGCGACATCTAGTGAGCGTAAAATGATTAGTACGCCCACCGCTCCAGCGTGTTGGCGGGCTTCATATGGTTTCAAATTATATTTATTGACGCAATTTACAATAATTGATTATTCGTGTTTGTAAGCTTAAGCGCGTCTATTGTTTAAGTGATCTACGGGTTCGAATCCCGGGCGTGGTCAAAATCGATAATTGATTTTTAATTAAAATTTTTATTTTTTTTAATAAGGATAACAACAGCGTATATCACTAAATACAATTTCAAATTTACCACAAGTATGCCAATAACAGTTATTCACGTATTAAATATAAAGGTAAGCTACGAACTATATTAATAAATAAAAACGATGAAAATTAAACAATTTAAAACAGCTTAATAAAATAAAAGTAATAAAATTAAGTAGTTTTACTACTGACTGCCGTGACCAAACTTCGGTCTTGAAGACATTATTATTAATATTATTTAAACATTGACTTTTAAAATGCAGTTTATTAAACCGATTCAAGGCGGATGGAACGCCAGGCGTGCCATCGATTATTTTTCTGTGTTATAACTTGCTCAAATTGCGTTTTTGGAAGATTTATCTATAGCAAAATTTCATTATTTTGCAAGTGCCTACAGCTTCGTTTCATTTTTTGAGAATGTGAAATTTTTATAGGTTGACAACCTTTTTTAACTTGTAGATGGTGCTCTTTTTACTGAGTGGGTTTTATTAAATCATTTTGTGGAAAAATACTCTAATAAGTAACAAAATTAAAAAATTGAGATTGTCGTATTGTTTAATTTAACTTGAAATGGTTGAACTGCTGTCTTATTAGTATCATATGGCCAAATGGTCCTACGAAGTACCATGTCGCACATCGTAGAACAGTCAAATAATATATATTACAAATAATAAATATATAACATTTGTATAAGATTAAATAATATGTAACATTTTTAAATATCAATGTATCATAAACCTTATTTTTTTCCAGATTAAGGTTCTTGATTGTTTGATATTTACAAACGTTTATATTAGGTGAAAATTTAATTTAATAAAAACCAAGGCTTTTCAGGTTGATTTAGCTGTAACTACTTTTATACAAATGATTTTTTTATAAAACAAAAAATAGTACAGAAGGTTTGTAATCTCTACATACAAAAAGTCACTTATTGTCCATTTCAAGGAAAACACGTAGAAAAACACGTAATTAGCCACTCAAAACAAGTATCCTTCCGTTTGCAACTGATGTTTGATGTCAACTAAACTTAATCAGGTCTAAACAAGTTAAAAAAGCATAAAAGAAACATTATTTTTACACATGGCAGATGGCATGTGTAAAAATAATACGCAATAGGCGTGTCATCAACTATTATGGCGCTTGACACGACAGGCGTGTCACGAAATATTTGCTCGCCGCTACAGCTAAAAGTGGTCGAAAATTGGTGTTGCAACGAATCGGTTAATCTCTCAGCCCCTAGCGGTCTCATGAGACCGCGGTCATATTCCGTCAAATCCCTAGCGGTCACATGAGGGCGCACCTACCCACAGCACTTTAACCCTTAAAAACTTATATATAGAGACTACTTTTCTATGAAGAAGTTTAGCATTATATAATCAATATGAAATTTTCTATCCTCTAGTGCAATAAAAAAACTGTTAGTTATATATTATATATATATATGTATATAGATATATAGTGTATTTATTGTATAGTTTACGTTATTCGTACGCCTCGGGAATGTTATGTTGATATTTCTTGTGTTTTAGTTTAGTACAAAATTGTAATGAAAGTTTTTGAATATAATTTATCTTTTTACGTAAATAATTTCGAGTAATATATGTATTGAAATAATTATGATTTTCACGCTGCCGACATTCACTTGGCATGTTTTTTTGAAGTTTTATTGAATGAAGTAAAACCTGACTTTTGTTTAGACCACAGGATAGAGAATTTTGTATTAATGCTGTTGTATTTTATAATGCTAAACTTCTTCATAGAAAAGTAGTCTATAAATATAAGTTTTAATGGTTGTAAGTGCTGTGGGTGGGTGCGGTCGCATACGATTTTTATGACGCTTGAAGGGTTAAGGCAATATTTAAAAAAATACAATTATAATGAAAATCAAATTATTTTTTCGAATTGGCCATTACAAATTGAAACACATTTTTTGGAAGTCAAGAAAGCTACGCCATCGCTTCAACAATTCCAGTGGGTTGGCAACTGCAGAACTGCTAGATCAGTAAGTTTCTCCAGCCCACTTCGATCAATAAAAGTGCTACCCAACTCCAGTTTTAGTTACTCTCATTATATCAATAAGTAACTACTCACCTTCATTTTTGGACTGACGTCGTATTTACCCAGTTCATGTCTCACGCCTTCGTACGTCGATATATAGAACACTCCCGAGATTATTTGAAACTGAAAAAAAAAACATATAAAGATAAATTTAAGTATTTATTAATATGTTCCCTATTCCCAGTTCACAGGCCTCCATTTATTTTAAATAGACTTTAAGGACAAGGAAATTCATATGTTTTTATTTTATAGAACAAGGGTGACAAACGAACACACAGTCCACCTGACGATATACTGTGGCTGGATGCTGTGGCCCATAGACATCTACATTTATCCTAAATTAAGAATCAAAATGCAGATACGTTGTCATTCCTGAGTACTGAGATGCGATGCTTCGTTTCCAGTAAAAGAGGTCTCCGGTTCTCTTCACTCACCATACGTAACATAGCAGCATAAAGCTGCTATTTTACGCTGGTATTCTGTGAGAGCGTAGTCCTTCCCGGGTCGAGCCGACCCATTCGTGCTACAACAACTATACATCTAATATAACTGCAGCATGGCTCTACCACTGCAATAAATAAAAAAACGAGAAGTGTGTCAGGATAAAGCTATGAAACAATGAGGCTTTTTATTTTCTCTTAATGCATTGTTAAATTATCATTGAATGATATTAATATTATAAAATTTTGTTTTTAGCATAACTCATGACTAAAAACAAAGGAAAGTAATAAAAATATGATCATACATGGGTATGTTGGACAGATATGATATGATGATATGACATGGATGTGACTGGACAGATGTTTCTTTAAAATTTAATGGTAGTTTGAAATTTAACGATACTCATATTTTGTTATTTTATTACAAAAATCAGTAAAAAGGAAACATGTTTTTGTAATTAAAGATAAATTAATGTAGTTTTTATCGTTATTTTACATTTTAAGTCTATTAGGTAGTTTTAAATAATTTGTCTGAGATGGTTCTTAATTTTATTTTTATTTTGATGATTCTTAAAATTAAAAAAAAAAATCCTAAGTTTAATCAGATGCGAACTAAATAAAGAACTAAAAAACTAAAACAAAAAAAGTATAAAAAATATTCAATGAGAGTCGAGTTGTGTAGTGCGCATTGTGTGTTTTTTTTATTAATCTTTGTTACCGCATATTTCTACAGTTAACAATGTATCATATTCATTGAATCTTATAAAATATTTGATAAACATTCAAAATGAATAATTTCATAACCGGTGACTTGACCTTAATGTAATAAAATGGATGAAAAATTACAAAAATTCTTTCTCTTGCTTCAACTTCTGGTTTATTTTTTAATCAAATTACAAAAGTGCTTAAAAAACAAATAGGAAATACTGTCCCGATTTCAGAACAATAACTTTGTATGGCTTTCATAGAAAAATGAAGAAAAATCTTAGGGAAACGTAAGTAGGTCAAACAAGCGAGCGACCGCGTACTAGAACACTTGATAGCAATTTTGATTTTGAGAGCTATCTATAACTATGTTAAGTAACACACAATAAATAACCAGAAGCCCTCTATATAGACCGGCGACTCCCTCATTGCAATAAATTTATAATGAAAAAGTAATATATAATAATTATATTTAGATACAAATTACATACTGATGAAATATGAATAATATTTTTTGATCTTACCGACATAATAGAAAAAATGAATAAAAACCATGAGTGCAATTAGTATAATTTAAATTTTTGTGTTTTTAAAAAATTTATGAAAAAAGGGCTCGAAATAATAGATTTTCTCACAAGAGTAAGGAACTTGGAAAAAAAATGAAAAAAGTCGGTCTAAAGACAGGACCACTAGGCACTACGACGACTAAACCACCAGGGCACTACGATTTCGTAACAGCCCGATATCCCATTTGAGCTATTATAATCATTATCACGTTGTCAAAATTTACCCTCTTATTCTAACGATATTGTAGCAGTTTTTCATTGCCTGAAAACACGGATAAAACATTTTCTAAAAATGAATCCCAGCTAGATCGATTTATTGCCTCCGAAACCCCCTGAACACTAAATTTTATGAAAATCGTCGGAGCTGTTTCCGAGATTCCGATAATTGCTCGTTTAAAGGTATAGGATATTGGTGTGATATTTATTAAGGTAAAATTTACACTAAATAACAAGCCTTAATAGACATCGAAGATTTTCTCGTTCGAGTAGATTTTTGTGATGAAAATTTAAATTGTGTGATATTCCCTTAAGTAACACTTACACTAGACAACCAGAAGCCTCGATAGAGACCAGAGATTCCCTCATTGCGGTAGATTTTTGTGATAGCGTCTGTGACACCTTTGTATGCCTCCTTCTTACGCTGAACTTGTATTTGTGTCTTCACCAGGGTCAAGGGGTAGAGTGCGCAGCGGACTGTGAAGAAATAAACTTATTTTAGTAAGATATCTTTATTTTTTGTGCTTTTCTTTTTTGTGGGGTTTCCGTGCGGGCCGGGAGCCTTAAAAAGTTTTTATTTTTTGTTCCCCCCCGTGGAAAGGAAATAAAAGGTAAAAGGAGAATAAGAACGTATTAAAAGAAACAAACAAGCATACAATTCACTTTTGATTCTTAAACAAGACTTACCATCCCATCGGATTATGACAGTGAAGGAATAGAGTGCACTTGTGCTTGCGTATACACTCGTGTACTATAATGTTGTCCTGGCCAGATAGCTAGTCTCTGTTGAGACTGCCCGGCGTGACCGAAATTCGGTCTGGAGGATATTACGGATGTAGCACAAATGGGTCGGCTGTACCATGGAAGGACCACACTCTCACAGACTATCATGGCATTCTATCTTAGTCCTCACAGGAGACAACACATCTACATTTTGATTCTTAATCGAGGATAGATGCAGATGTCTACGGGCCACAATATGCACTTACCATCAGGCGGAGAGTGAGCTCATTTTTAACAGCGATACATCTATGAAAAAAAAAAAAAAATATATATATATATATATATATAAATTCCCACACCTCAATGTTTAAATGTGTTATGTTGGCAGTTTAGATACCTTATATGGCTAAGTCAACGACAAAGACGTAACAGGCTATATAAAAACCAGAACTGCGAATCCTCGCATTCCTGAGAGGGATTTAAGGCAAGTTAGAGTTTGTCGTGCTGCCCCAATGTGTGTTGAAACTTACACTTATGTCTCTGAATTTCATTTTATTTCTCAGATACACATTGGGGCAGTGCGGTGGACATTTCCTTGCCCTAAATCAATTTTAGAAATTAACATCTGTGCCCAGCTGTGGGACATGATATATGGTGAGAGCCGATCAATTCGTAATGCAGCTATATAATACGAATATGGCCGGCGCAGTAGCATAGCATGTGTTAGAGCGGTAAGTGTCGCAGGTTCGAACCCCGCACGGAACAAGTATTTATATATGGTATATTATATATGGTCTAAAAATAAACATTCCGGGTCGGAATGTTTGTCCATTTTAAGTTTAAGTACGTGAACTGCCCATGACACAGGAGAAAATCCTAGTGTGAAAGTACTTAACATTTTCTAAAAAATAGAAAATACTACAAATCAATTATGGTTCTAAGGGTCAGCTCACACATAGACGCGAAGCGACGCGACGATGCTTGAAGAGGCCAGTGGATTCCTACCGCGCATCGAGACGTCGAGAGGCGCATCGTGAAGTCGCTGGCGGCGCGACGCCTAATAGTATTAATAGAGACAAGTCGCCACGACGGCTTCAGGCTGCGCCTCGCGGCCTTTTTCAGCAATTTTCGAATTATCTCAATAAAGTGTGTATCTTTTTGTGCTGTAAATAGTAGTAGTGTCGTGTATCATCTCGGTGTGAACTGACCCTAACATGTAAAATACATATTTGTCCTTTTTAATTCCTCACCTGTAAAACTGCTCAATGTGTAGAGGGGGAAGAATTTATTTTTATCCATCATACTCCATTCTATAGTGGTGATCAACTGTGGGGGTGGTGACTCCACCATTGTAGCTGCCATGCTTATCTTTTCTACACCTCTTCCAAATTCTATATCACTTGCAGATGTATTACATACACCAATAAACATATATACACTAATGTATTTTAATATTATGTCATATATCTTTGGTTACTCTTTCACTTCTCTTGTACATATTATATTTGATACTGATTACAAATGGAATTATTGCGGTAACAATTATTAATCTATTATATAAATAACTAAATCTTATAACGTTCGACGTAAATTTTAAGACTAGAGGCCTAAACTTTGTCTAGATTTATCTGGTTATGATATTTTTGTAAAATCTATATATGTTTGACATTTATAACTTGTTTCTGATTCTTCCATATTTAGCATATCCTGTGGCTGCTTGTCAAGCTGAAATGCAAAAGAATATATCAAGGATATAAAATGAAGTAAAGTTATAGCCTATAACAGGGGTCACAAAATGGCCGCCGGCCTATTTTGTGCGGACCCAGAAGAATCTAAAAATATCAGTGTAAAAATATGCGGTAATTCAATTTTCTTCTGTTTTAAAACAAACATTGTAAGTTTTTGCCATGAATTTTGGATAAAATTAGTATGAACTAATAAGGCTTTGAAACTGTACAATGTTTGGATAAATATATATTTGTGAAACAGGGTTTTCCAGATGCACTTCATTAAAAATAAACTTCAATCATGTCTTACTGATGACCATCTCGAAGATTTAATGACAATAGCTTGCAACAACTTAATTCCAGATTTCAGACAGATAGAACAGATTAAAAAATGCCATTTTTCGCCTTAATATTACTTTACTTACTTTGTTATTTTTGAATTTGATGTATCCTTACTAAAAATAATCAGATAAAAAAATGTCAAATAACAAATAAAACAAAAAAAAATAAAAGATTTTTTTGTTTTATTTGTTAATTGACATTTTAAATCTCGCTTGCTAATCATTATATAGCAAACGGACCGTGACGGATTTATATTTTTATATGCCATGTTGCAGCTACATTATAGTTGTAGCATGTATGGGTTGGCTCGACCGGGGCAGGACAACGCTCTCGCAGAATACCAAACTAAAATAGCAGCTTAATACTGCCCTTTTCGTATGATGAGTGTAGAGAACCGGAGGCCCTTTTTACTGGAAACAAGGCATTCCATCTTAGTCCTCACTCTCAGATGTCTATAGGCCACAGCAACCAATTACCACCAGGTGGACTGTGTACTCATTTGACACCCATATCCTATAAAAAAACACTTTTAAAAAGAACTAGTTTATACTGATTTCAACGTGTATATAAACATATGTTATATTCCTGATGTTTCAAGTACTTTACAGCCCACATAGTGACAGGGGGGGATTGAGGTGTTCGACGTCCCAATGTCATATAACCACAGCTACCTTCAGATTATAATTCAAAGATTCTTGTTTAAATAAATGCGAAGTTTTTGGTAAAATTCATAGATTTAAGAAAGTTTATTATTTGGTCTTCGTCATTCATTCGTTAATTACAGAAATATTCATAAATATTCACTGCTGAACATATTGAGGGTTGCAGAACTGTAGATTTTTTTTAACGGTTGATATCAAAAATATGCTGCTGCCCATCTCCTGCTTCAGTTTCGCTCTGTCGCCTCGAATGACACCCAGGGAATGAAAAGCAGTAGTGGATATTTCTTACGCCACTACTACGCAACTTCTCAGTTGTGATTGCCCATAATATTGTGTGCATTATCTTAGGTATTAAAAAAGGTTAAAATTAAAATGATGCTTGCAAAATCATTCAGCAATTCTAATAAATATATAAAAAAATTATACTATGTCATGGCTTGTGTAAGATTTTATCTCACTTGTTCACCTTCTATAATTCATAATGACTACTACCTGCATTGTCCACAAGAATTTCCTAGTTATAACTTCCTTTTATCTATTTATGGAATAGTAATAGTGTAGTCTCCCAATGCACTTATATAGCTATTTAGATTGAATCTGACTGTTTCTTTGATGGTAAGCACAACAGCTGATCATGTGGTCCCGAGTTTGAATCCCGGGTCGCGCCAAAACAATTTATTGGCTTTTCTGTCTAGACATTCTTAGTAGCAGCCTGTGGTCAGGCACAAACACGGTAAAGCTTCCGAATATTCCGAATACTGAATATGAAACGAATATTCAGCCCATCTCTAAAGGCTGAAATCCATGTTGGTTTTTCACGCCGGTGCTAAGTTCATAAAGCTGTTGATCTTTTGCCTGATCTATGTCTGCTTGCGTCGAACTGTGGGAGTGAGGGAATAGAAAGTGCACTCGTGCTTACGCACACACCTACGCACTATAATTCTGTCCTATGTAGATGACTATTCTCCATTAAGACTGGCCATCATGACTGAAATTTGGTTTTGAGGAAATCATTATTATTTTAAATAAATAGCTTAGCAACTCCCTTAATTTGTACGGGCAACACAAACAAAAAAAACTTTTTTTTTTAAATAGCTACTAAGTTGCAATTCAGTACATAGTAAGATAATGAGACCTAGTAGTGTAAATTTAAAAAAAAACATAAATATAACAAGCTTAGAGAGACTTCTAACCTCTGCTTGGGTATTAATACTTTGGATGGGTCAAGGTCAAGGTTAAGTTTGCTTTTATATATATCATAACAATCACAGCAGCGTTAAATTGCTATTTGATGGTGTTCTGCAGGAGTGTGGATCTTCCCTACCCTAGCTGACCCAATTGTGCAGCACCATAACATAGTGGCAGGTTAAGCAGTAATTTTCAATTTATATTTTATTTATAAATAACAATAACGGCATTGTGTATTGCAGCAATCTTAGATAGATAAATTAGTCATTATATACATAAAGGTTATGTGTATTTGTAGTTATCGTAATATTTGAATTTATATTTATTTAAAATTGATCTTATCTATTTTAATAGAAACGCTCTAATGTCAATCGGTAATTAATTTACCTATACAACAAGTACAAATAAAAAGTAATTAAAAACACAATAATAAGTTAATATAAACCAAATCTCTTACAACAGTTATCATAAGCCACGTAAACCAATAATTAAATAAAAATAAACTTGCGTAAGAAAATGTAAGTACTTACCAAAGGCAATAAAAATCCATATTAAGAAACACGCACTAATGTTGAATATCAAGGTTGTAACACTATACACAAATTATTTAAATGTTTTATGTAATAATTTTTACTGACTGAAGTTTACACAATGAAAAAATAATTCATGATCATGTCCTTCTGCGATGTCAGTCAGCTGATTTATGTTTTATGCTGATAGGTCTGCTTCCATCTTTAATACAGACTAATAAGTGGAAGTGGATTCTGCGCATATTGCATATGTCAGCTTATCTTATCAGCAATGTTGCCACATTGAATTACCGTACATTACCGTAGGTCTCTAGACTGCCGTCGAAAAGTCCCTATAGTTCGTAGACAGAGAAACCTATAGACTAATGATCGGCGTGGCCTCGAGTGAGAAAGGACGATAACGAATTTTTAGGTTATACAATAATCTTTATGACTTTTAAACACATTTAGATAAAAATTTTAACTGTTCTAAGAACTGAACTGACCAAGATTCACCAATCTTAAGCTCACAAAACACTTTTTTCTCACTTAAACCAACTTGTAAACTCCTTAATCGCTACGCTGATAAGTTGCAAACTGTAAAGTTTGCTAAACAAAAAAACCGGCACGGAGAAAGGGACAAACAACCACACCGCTCTATCTCATTTCTATGCAAGACGTATGCATAAATCTATCTTTTTCGTGTGCGAATGCGAAAGAAGGCGTCAATTTGTCTTAGGTTTCTCTTCGTGTACGCTATAGTTCATAAAGAAGCTTGATCTCTCGAGTTGTAATATATGGATATATATAGTAGTAAATGATGTATACATATATATATACAAGGGGACGGAGCGACGGAGACTTCATTAGACGAGACCTCTCCAACCTAACGTTTAAGTTCAGTGTGCCTCTAACCATTCGGTGATCGTTGCCAGTTTTCACCCTTGCGATCACTGAGACATCACTGAACAGTTGACATCTGGTCGTCATAATGAAGTCAATCTAATTTTTTGTCGAATCGTCGGGGCTTGACCAGGTCCACTTTCTGAAGAAAGAGTAAAGAGAGAGAAGTAGATAAAATTCATACTATAAAATAATTTATTTAGTAAAGTGAAATAATAACAGTGAATAGGAACGTGTCCGATACAATTAAAAAATGCATACATAAAATTCATAAAGACTCACGCCTGTCATCCAGAGGGGTAGGCAGAGACGGAGAAGGACGGACTTCCATTTTGCACGATCCTGACATACATCTTTCGCCTAATTTACATCCATATATCAACGAATACATGCTCGTCGGTTAAGGGTTTAACAGTGGTAGAGCCACGCGGCAGCTTTGCTGTTGCACGTATGGGCCGGCTCAAACCGGGGTGGTTCACGACCTCACAGAATACCGGCGTGAAGTAGAAGCTCTGCTTCCGCGTTTCGTCTGGTGAGTGCAGGTGGCCGGAGGCCCCAATCCCCCCCCCCATCAACATGGTAGCGGAATTAAATAATGATAGACTACCCCAGGAGGTGGGCTCGGCGCGTCGGGGGGCAAATTCCTCTCAAGACTACAACTGCTCGGGGCAAACGGAGCAACAAGACCAAGGCGACCCCTGCCACGCTGTCCGTGAATTTCTGCAATATCAGAGGACTTCACTCTAACCTAAACGCCGTCCACTACCATCTCGAGACGGCGAGGCCGGCTCTGCTCTTTCTGACCGAGACGCAGGTGTCCTCTCCGGATGATGTCTCGTATCTCTCCTACCCGGGGTACAAACTGGAAACACTCCTTTGTGCCTCGGGCTGGAGTTTGCGTTTACGTCAGAGAGGACATCTGTTCTCGACGCCTCGGCAGACTTGAAGGTTCGGACCTGTCCATGCTTTAGCTACGCGTAGACAGCGACGACCATCCGCGCGTTTACGGGTGCCTCTATAGGTCCCATAGC